TGTTTAATTCAGTTTTAATTTCCGTTGATGTCTAGACAACTGCTCTTTTTAGTTAATTCTGTCTGTCCGAATTTTTTGCAACTCTCTATAAATATAGAAAGTTGCAAAAAGTTCGGACAGACAGAAATAATTAAAAAGAGCAATCTGCCAATTTTGAGCAATTTTTGCATGCAAATTTGAATTTTTAGGTGACATTGAGACAAACTTTCAGTCTGAAAAATAAGCTTTTGCATACAAAAATTGTCTGAAAAAGGTCATTTGCTCTTTTTAATTAATTCTGTCTGTCCGAACTTTTTGCTACTATAGAGAGTTGCAAAAAGTTCGGACAGACAGAATTAATTAAAAAGAGCAATCTGCCAATTTTGAGCAATTTTTGCATGCAAATTTGAATTTTTAGGTGACATTGAGACAAACTTTCAGTCTGGAAAATTAGCTTTTGCATGCAAAAATTGTCTGAAAAAGGTCATTTGCTCTTTTTAATTAATTCTGTCTGTCCGAACTTTTTGCTACTAATTATAATTATAGCTTTTAGTTTGTACGATCATTTTGGTTTGCTCTTTTGACAATTTGAATGCTATATCTCACTGTCTCAAGCTCAGAATTCTTTTAGAATTTTAAATCGTTGTCCGATAAATTTAATAAACGATAGAATACAATTTTAAAAAACAATTTGCCATATTTGAACAAAAATTGCATGCAAAATGGAATTTTTAAGTGACCACGAAACATTATGTGCAAAAAAAAAGATTTTTTAAGCAACAATTGTCTAAAATATGTCACACCTCTTTTTTATCAAATTTGTCAGTTCCAATTTTTTGCATATCTCTACTATTAAGAATGAGATGCTTCCTTGTAAAAACTTGTGCATTTAAAGGCTTTTTGAAACAGAACTTGTGTCACAAGATTGCTGAAAAAGTAAAATCCTACGCAAAGTGTTGTCAATCTGCAGATTGCTCTTTTCAAATGAGTTTGACTCGTCGCATTTTGAAACTACTCCTAATTAATGCCAGTCTCTCTTTACAGTGATGAATTTTTTCGCCCGGACAAAAAGCATAAAGTTTAAAAATAAAAACGCGTTTCAAAAAGGCAAATTTGATAAATAAGACCTGATGAAGCAAAAACTTTACAAAATTTTGACCCAAAAACAGATCGTTTATGGCTTTTTTTAGTCAACTAAAAAGTACGCTACAACTACTGGGTCAATTACTGCCAAAATTAAATCAAAATGAGCCCCCTACGTATTCCAACAAACTTCACAAGAGGAGCAGTTTCCGCAAAATTAGATAAACTAAATTTATGTTTGCTTGATAGCCCAAAAGTTTCATTTTTTATATGAAACAACAATATACTATTTAAAACAATGTTTTAATTTTTTGTGGTCACGGAACCTGAACAAGAATAAAATTAACCCGAAATTGCTGATTTTGACGTAGAAATCTAAACTTTCCTTTTCAACAACCCCGTCACAAATTTTAACCACACAATCATAATTTTCAAAAATAAAGTTTCTCAAGGTCTGACTCAACAATCGAAAGACTTTCCAGTAAAAAGCAGATCAATTATTATATGTTCATAAGTTTACGGTACTTTGTAATGAAAATAATTTCATCAATTTGATTCAAAATGTTATCTTGAATCGCAAACAAAATATTGAGTTCAAATAGAAATAATATTTCATTTATAATTAGTTTTTGTGAAATATCAAAAAATTTCTATTTGGTTCATTTGGCGTAATTAATGCAGGCGAACCATTTTATTCACTGCTTAGCCAATGTAATGAGAAGATCACGTCTGGCACAAAAATTGCTCCAATTTGAATTATAGCACGTTAGTTAATACAATATTCGTCAACAGATAGATGCTAGTTATATGAATTTGTATTTTACAATAAATGAAGATTCGATAAATAATATTTTTTCATTTTTTTTGGAAGTTTTTATTAAAACTTCTAACCTGAATTTACTTCTACCGCCCAAAAACATTTTGACGTCACCTCAATACGAGTTTAGACTGCATTTTTTTCTCAAAAAAAAATTCCTGAGGTATCTTAAAAAGAATCGAGTAAGGCGATATTCCGCCATTACATGAAGTGATATGGCGAAATTTAAACGCAAAAATCAACCACCTGAAAGTTTTTCGAAAATTCTCTCACTGATATGAACACTTAATCCAATAACATAGGGATATACACTGTATGACAAAATTTGCGAACAAATCTTGAGTTCTATGATTTTTTGTATTATGATTTTGATTTCAACAATAATTGAGTTTTGTGTTTCAAAACTTTTTATGCTAGTCACCAGTTTCAACACTTTATGGTAGCCAAGCTTTATACTAGTCAATATATCGCCCTAAATGAAGAAAGGACAGCAGTATTAACCACTCAAACTCAAACCCTTCCAAAGAATGGCCAAAATTGTCAAAAAGAGTCCTGAAGTTTTGAGAGGCAATTATTTGGTCGACATTAGGAAATGAGAGTTCATTCAATTCTTTCAAGTTTAAGTATACCTGATAAAAGTCAGTCATAGGAAGCTGAAAAATTCTTTTTATATCCTGAATTATTCGCGAGTGTCGATTATTAGCGCTGACAACTTTTTTTTCTTCACATTTAAATCATGGGGACCCAAATCCCAAATCCTTTTTTCACAGGCAAACAATGCTTTTTTTTGCAAATCTATTATTGTTATTTCGCCAAACTCATGTGTTTAAAAAAAGAGGCGAAGCTGCGCTTTGCAAACAATTGCGAGAAAACGACCAAAAATCAGCTATCAAGTGATATAAGAAAAAATAGAAATAAGCCTCGAGTTTGCAAAAACTCGAGGCATAGCAAAATCTCGAATTATCTAAAGTCTGTGACCTAGCAAATTTGAGTCTCACGCACTAACCAATCATCAGCGGATGCTTAAAATCCCCAAAAACTAGCCACCAATAACGCAGCCACATATGCTAATAAATTGTCATTTCGATGCAGCAAAAGTAGCACCAAATACCAAAAGATACAATTTTGCCTGTAATAAATAGCAAATCATAAGGCCACTTTATGTATAAATTATGCTTTTCAGAACCTCGCGAGATATATTGAGTTAGAAAATTTTTGAAATCGAGATTTTGTTATTGTTGTTGTTTGAAAAAAAAGCTTTTTTCGGTTAATTTGATGAATTAAAAATGCATCAACTGTATAAGCTTATATGTCAAAGCATATGTTATCAATAAGCTGTAAAGGTGAAACCAATAAGCTGTCATGCCAATTCGATGTAGGCAAATATTTCTGCTGTAAGCCGCAACAATATTTGGGACTTAGTCGCAACAATATTTGCGAATTAGGTTGGAAAAAAAAATAAAGTTCGTGCAATAATACTTTGCTTCGCAATAGTGTTCTGAGGAGATCGAATGCATCAATCATACAATTCACGGTCGAATTGTTTTTGTTCCCCGTTGAATAGTGCCTCCTTTTTCAAGTCCAATTCGAATTTGCTTCACCGATCTGCGAAGCCAGTCGAACATAAAAGCTCCTCCTTCCAGCGTAGCTTAAAATAGTTTGTGAAACAAGAGTATTTTGTACGCATAGTATGGTTATCCGGTACATGTACTCTGCGCTACTTAATTTTTGGGAACCCGCAACAGAAATCTACTTCTTCATAGACCTACTTCCTTGAATAATGACTCCTTCGAATATCCTTAGGTTTTTAAAAGCTCCAATTTCAAAAAAAAAACTTTTTTAACGCAAAGTACCTCTGTCTATATTAAATGTTAACACAAAAGCAAAATTGCACTTCGCATACAAGCAAAATATGACCGATAACGCTACTGGGGAAAACTGAATGAAAAAATGGAGTCTACAAAATTTCATTAGTGACGCACGCGAATTAGGAGTCTATATAATTGCCAAGTGACGCAAGCCAATTAGGACGCATTAGGAATACCAGTCAATTTGGCAAAAAGAAATTTACCAACTAACATGCCTCAACTTTTAGAGCGGACGCATTTAAACCAGTATACGAAAAAAATTTTCAGAACATCCGACCCTGCCCAGGTTCGAACCCTCTTATTTTGCTGCTGGTCTCACTTTCTACCTCTACGCAACAGATCCATGATGCCTAGAAGCTTAAGAGCTATTTATAATATAGTATTCTGTGTTAATATCCTTACCATTGGCTGTACTTAATAGCTGGATCAAAATGACACATTTTGTCGCAACAATTGCATCGCAACAATATTTGCGACGTAGGTTGGAAAAAAGGAAAGTTCAAACTATAACACAAGCTATGCTTGTGTAAACATCATGCCAATTTTATTTCTCAAAAAAAATGTTGGCTCAAATTTGTCATTACCTTCATCAGACAGGACCCGAAGATGCATGACTTCCGCACAGTTGTAAAACATTTTTTAAAAATGGTGGCTCTTTTTCTTTTCCCCCCACCTGCAAATTTCTTTATGTAAATTTGTTGACCAGCGTCCGATTGTAAGGAAAATTTACATACGGACTTATGAACCCACGACAAACATATTTGGTCTTCATACTGAACCTCGTAAAACCACTCGTTAAACATATATATTAAAGCTCGTGTATGGGAGGAAAAAGATCCAAAATGGTGATATGTTACAATTGGTGGTAATTTTGAGATTTATTTGAGTATAATGCATGTTTTAAATTTATTGACTATAAAGCATAATATAATCATTTCATTTTCAATCAATTGTAAATGCTTTTTAAGATAGTTTAATAATAACATTACTCTTGCCAGATGAAATATGATTCAAAAATTCAAATTTTACATTCTTTTTCAAAAAATTTGGCTTTTGAAAAAAAACTATAAATAAAGTTCGAAGTATAACAAAGAGCCATCCAGCTTCTTAACTTGTATCTGCCACCTATTGTAATATACCACCAAAAAAAACGTCCAACGCTCAGGTAGGGTATTATCTAATTTTAAGTACTGCAAAACCCAAGGTGAAGTTTTTACATTGGCCTGAGAACTTATCAGCACACGAACAAAACATGCTGTCATTTGTTGAATTGAAAAATTTGAGGAGATCATGATGGAGAGGAAAATGAATGTCACTTTACAAATATACCTTTTTTGCATCTTCGCTAAAAACACATCAAAGACATTTTAAAGCCTCAATTCCAAAAACTGCAGTGCCCTTGGGAATAAATAAACACAATTTGACAAATATTGAAGCAGACGAGCACATTTAAAGAGCTTGTATTTCTCCACCTGCACCGTTCGCCACTCCTATTAGTGCTAGTGTTATTATAAAATATAAAAAATTGATGTTTATAAAAAGGTTACTGAAGCCATCTTTCTTTTTGCCTTCGTCTGTGTTCATACACTTAATCTCCCTTTTCACAACTATTCCTCATCTTATGAAATGAATGTGAGTGACAAACGGATGAGTAGATATCATATCACAAACAAGTATCTGTATCTTTTTTTAAATGCTTCGAAATATTGTATCAACTTGTGTTTTATCGTCTGATCCGAAGGCTCTTCATTCGAAGAAAGCATAATAAAGCAAGCACACATTCTTTAAAAATTAGCTCGCTTTTTTAAATAATAACCAAAATTCAGCTATCAATACTTCAATTAACACAAAGCTGCAACGTAAAATCTTGGTTGAATTGTTCCAACTAATTTATTTTCTGTTTCAATGTGATGTTAAAATTCATAAAATGCATTTGATGTTGCAACAACATATCAAAACTGAGAACAGCTGTAATTAACCTATTATCAGAGCAGAACAAAGAACTAGTCCGAGTCGAGCACGAAGTTTGACAGTTTCTCATTGTTGTAATTCATTAAATCCTCGTCCTCGTCCTCCTCTTCCTCGCTCTCCGATTCGCTCAACGGCAGATTTGCATGTGGCTGTTGTGGGAAGTCCACGTTTCGATGTATGTTTTTGTCCTCGTCGTCTGAATCGTCCCCGGCCGCAAAAGCGATGTCAGCATAGTCCTGATTCGACTGATTGTTGCCCTCGACCAAGGTTGACAAGTCGACGTTAGCTGAGATCTCGCCCTCCTTCTGCAGCCGCTTCGCCTCCTCCGGAAGATATCTGGCGACCACGTCCGCTTTTTCATCTTGAAACTCTCTCAGACCTGTAGAAAAAACAACCTCTTCCAGCTCATCTCAGTAACACTCAATACAATAAAGTTAAACTATAAACCAAAAATCCCTTATGTTTATGGTCTAATTAGCTGCGCAATATCATAGGCGAACTAGATCACTCGGCCAATGGCACCTCAATTTCAGACTTTTAACCACAGGCACATTAATTACAGGCACAGACAGCAACGAATGCTGTTTTTCAAGCAGCTATAGAGTATTGATTCAAAACGGACGAAACGAACAAAACTTGAATTTTAACGGACATGAGAAAAAAAGATGAAGGTGAAAATTGATTAAATGGAACGGATATTGTGTAATTTATTTCTCAAAACTCTGGCCCAAAAGCTTACTTCCAAAGCGGATCATTGGTGAATTTTCGACAGTCAAAAATTGTGGCAAAACTAAAGGGTCAATTGCCAGCATAACTTCATCAAAGTAAGCTTCTCAACTAGCTCCACGAAGTTTCGGAAGGATATGACCTTCCAAGTTCTGAATGAATTATTTTGCTTGATAGCCAGAAAATGTCACTTTTAACATTTAAATGAGCAAATTTTTTATTTGGAACAGTTTGCGCATATTTTTTAGAACATAAAACCTTCTTAAACTTCGTTGAGCTACATAAAAGACTCATTTTGATCAGATTTAAAAAAATTCGCGATAGCTGAAAACCAACAGTATGTAAAGAAAAATGAAACGAATAATTTGGTTGCTGAGAAGTGAAATTAATTTCAACTAGCGTGTAACGCATCTTCGGTGCTTCAAACTTTTGACAAATCATAAAAAACCGCATATATTGGATACAAGTTTGCAGCCTTTGAATGTACTCTGGCAACACCTAATTACAGGGTTGGTAATTTCAACTTTTATAAAGTTAATTTTCATTCTAATTTTGAAAAACATAAAAACGTCATATCTTGAAAACCTAAAAACCATTTGGAGAAACCCGGAGACCACATTTGTAACCACTGAGAATAAACAGAGCACCCCACTGAAAATCCCGAAAAAAATCATAAAAAACGTCTTATCTCGGAAACTAAACAGATTTGAGCATTAATAATTATAGACAAGATTTGCAACTCCTGAGTGCCCTGAAAAAAAGGTTGTCTCACTACAAGACGAGGAATTTCAAATTGTGAAACTTTTTGCAGGTAAGTTCCTTTCGTTAATTATGCAAAAACACTACGTTGAAGAAGCTTAAACATGGGGAGGTAGTGAAGCCCACATTTGAATATATAATAGACAAAATTACTCGATTTCAAAACATGCACTGTTGCTCTAACATTAATGCCTTCGTTGATCTATGATCGATCCGTCTATTTCCATTTAAGATGATCTGGGAAGGCTAGGGCGAAAAAAGGCGAGATAACACTGAGAGTTTGAGTGGGGGAGATTTGAAGTCAATAAGCTGAAGAAGATCAATTGGGAATGCCGGATTTTCTTAAGGCGGTTGAAGTTGGTGGATGCAGCCTCTGATCTAGTCGTGAAAAACATAGAACGCAGGCATTGCAGGAATAATGCTTTTGGGGGGGGGGGGGGGGAGGGATGAGGAAGAGGAGTTGGTTGATTGACCATTGCCTTTCGGGTAGTTTTGAACTTATTGTTTCATCTGTCATCGGCTTTAACCAGCAATTATTGCAATCTCAAAATCGGCCTCGTACAAAGTTTCACATTTTTTTAAAATCTGATTATGATTTCCGTTATACAAATTTTCAATGATACCAAATGGCCATGATTAAAAGGGTTACCATAATCAGTTATGTATACTAAATCTCTTTTTCTTTTAAATTTTGATTTTCGATATGATCTTTGTTGTAAGGCCGTTGCATAGCTTTCATATACTTAAAAAACAAGACTTTCGGAAATTTCGCCAGCCTTGAACTTTTATTTTTATCAAACTAAATAAATTAAGGATCAGCTACAAAATGCGATTGACTTGACTTGAAACGGCCAAGCCGCATTGATGGAGCGAGCGGCACAATGCGTCAAGCATCATCGGATATCGTTGTTATTAGTCTTGATTGGAGGATCGTTTCTCTGCAAAAGCACCGTGTACATCTCATCTAGTTTAAATTTTGCTCAGATGCCTCATGTTTTTGTGGTGAAGTAGTTTCATTGAATCGACAGCTGCTTCTCACAGAGCTCCAAAACTTAGAGCGCTTCCAGGTGTAGTAGTCCAGTTGAAACCTGCGTCTCGAACATATTCAGAAAAACTGAATCTTATGCTTGTATTATAGTAGTTGAGCTTGTTTCTATCATAATCACAGAAAACTTTCTGGGTGTCCAAAATTTTCCAAAATATCCAAAAAACTGTTTTAATGAGAATTATAAGAAAACTATTCAAAAACATTTACCGAGGAAAAAACTGAAACTGATGTTTTGGTTGATTTTTTTTCAAGGTGCGTATGAGCAGACAACAGTTGCTAAGTTAAGTGTTTGGGCTTCAAGAAGTTACGAAATCAGGCAGTCTTCCCTTTGATTTTGTTGGAAACCTGGGTTTTATTGGGCAGTAATGGGTCATTTTGGGCTATTAACACGTGTTTTGTTCTTTTGTTAAAAATTCATTTTTTCGGTGTGAAAGAATTATATGTTTTTCCTACAGCCAAAAGAAATGCTGCTTCACTGCTTTTAAAAGAGCTTCCCTGAAGATTTTCGTGACTTGTATACATCACTGGGATCGGTTTCGAGGCCTGATATCTCATCTCCAGCAGCGAAACTTTCAGGTTTTTAGACCTTGCCAGCTTATAGAAAGAGGAGCGATTTCGAGACAATTGATGTAAATATGAGCAAGTCGTCTAAGTTGAGCAAAGTCTGTGAGGCCCAGTAGCAAGACAGGACAACTGATTGTGAAGCGAACGTTATGTCTTTGGCGGATGTTTGTTGGGATGTTGGAGAGAGTTTGGACTGCAGTAATTAATGGGACATAGCTTGCGGCAGTTGTTTCATTGGCGAAGATGGCAACTGGGTCGCATTTGCAAAACAAGGAGCCCCATTGGGGACTGTGGGCTTGGATGTCTCAGATCAGTCAATCAGAGTAGTTGACTAAGTCATCAAGTGATTTGATACAGCCTTGAGGGAACTAGTTTCTAAGCAGAAAGTAGATGTTTGTGATTGATAATTTTCCATTCTTGGTTATTAAGTTAGTAAATTGTGCCTCTATGAGGGTTTGTAGATTGTAAGTTCTAGTTTCCGGGTCCAATGGCGCCGCCTTGACGTGGTGGACCCGATTCGCAACATGCCGCCGCAAAATGGCACCAAAACCCCCTCCCCGTGTTTGGGAGCGCAGAAAGCGTGCTCAAACCGCGTTTTTGGTGGTGGAGCGTCCAAAAGTGGCTGGGCTGCTCCGTCTTCTTATACTTATCCTCCTTTTATGTGCCGACATTAAACCAAACCCAGGCCTCTATTTCTGCCCTCCCTGTAGCACAAATCCCTCCCGCACTCAAGCAAGTGTTTAGTGTTACATATGCGGATGGATCCACTTAAAATGTAGCGGACTCGCAAACCTCAAACAGCACCACGGAAACTTTCACTGCCCTACTTGTACGAACAATAATATCCTGTCCCTCTCAGTTAATAATACGCCTAAAAGGCCAAAAAACACAGACTACAAACCTGGCTGCCCGAATAACAAAGACACTGAACGACCAAAACACTAACCCTCAAAACCATACAGCGCATACTACTTCCACCATTTCCCGCCCTTACCAAATCCTAACAGTAACCAATCCCAATCAACAAAATCCTAAACTTTCTTCAACTGAACTGTAACGGAGTATTAGGGAAAGCACCCGAAATTGCTGCACTAATGTGTGAATTTCAAATTCATATCGCTGTTTTTCAAGCACTCCCTCGCAAGGCCCGAACTAAACTATTATCAGAAAGAACCGCCCTCCAGAGGAAATTTGAGTACTTAGTGTCATACAGAACTCACGTATCTACGAAGAGTTGCAAAGTAGAAGACGGGACTTTATAGGCGCAGTGTTTTCAAATAATGGCCAGCAACCAAATCGTCCGTTTCACTAATTTTTACATTCCCGAGCAGTAGCTGCCTAAAAGATTATAATGCTCCCATTACGGAACTGCTCATGGAAGAGAATAAAGTAGTCATGGGAGATCCAGATGCCCACTCCCTTTTCTGGTGCTCAAATATAGCGGAGGATAACATAGACCCCTCTTTAGGTGCAGTAAGTACTTACTCAGACTTCACCCCTTTAAACAGCCATACTCAAACTCGTTTACCGTTCGACAACTCGAGCTCCTCGTCACCAGACTTATCCTTGGCATCATCGTCCCTCTTACACTCCATAAGTTGGAAAACAATTAACGTTAGGGTGACCATCTACCTATTTCAATAAGTCCTCCTCTAACAGAGGATGTCCATTTCACGGATAAAATAACTAAGATTATAAGGCTCCCATTACGTCACTGCTCTTGAAGACAAAAAAATTGTCATGGGAGATGCAAATGCCCACTCCCCTCTCTGATGCTCAAAGATAGCGGAGGATAATAGAGGCGCCTCTTTAGGTGCAAAAATTACTTACTTAGAATTCACCACTTTAAACGACCATACTCAAACTCGTTTACCGTTTGGCAACTCGAGCTCCTCGTCCTCAGACTTATCCTTGGCATCATCGTCCCTCTTACACTCCATAAGTTGGAAAACAATTAACGTTAGGGTGACCATCTACCTATTTCAAAAAGTCCTCCTCTAACAGAGGCTGTCCATTTCGCGGATAAAATAACTAAGATTATAAGAGTCCCATTACGTCACTGCTCTTGAAGACAAAAAAATTGTCATGAGAGATGCAAATGCCCACACTCCTCTCTGATGCTCAAAGATAGCGGAGGATAATAAAGGCGCCTCTTTAGGTGCAATAATTACTTACTCAGACTTCACCACTTTAAACTACCATACTCCAACTCGTTTACCGTTCGGCAACTCGAGCTCCTCGTCACCAGACTTATCCTTAGCATCATCCTCCCTCTTACTCTTCATAAGTTGGAATCCACTTAACTTTAGGGTCAGACCATGTACATAATTCAATAAGTCTTTCTCCAACAGAGGCTGTCCATTTCACGGCAACGCAAACTGGGACGAGTACACTGAAGAAACAGAAGAATTTTTCTGAAATTGTTTTATGAAAGAGGTTAACATCGCCGAAAAGTTTTCTGGAAACAATTCTGAAGGCGGCCCGGTGTATAAAATGATAGCGTTCTGCCGGAATATGGCGCGGGGCCGCCTTCAATCATTTTATACACCTGCTTCAACAGCCGAAACTAAATTGCTAGCAAAGAGCGCAATAAAATCAGCGAGAAAACCGCTCAAATCCTATTTTGAAAAAAAAAAACCACGATTTGACGTGAAAAAGTGGCAAGAACTCCTCAGGACCTTTAATCGCCACACGGCGTCCAGTAAGTTCTGTAAAATGGTTCGCTCCTTAGATGGGAACAAATCCGTTGCTGGATCTCATCCAAGCTCTTTTAATGGCAAAAATTCTCAGGGGCTAAACAAATAGCAAACGCTTTTAACAATCAAAACACGAAACTCAGAACCCATAAATCTAACAAAGAGCAGAAGAAAATCAAAAGAAAATACTGAAATTAACGCGTAGCGATCCACTAACTTTTTTGCCATGTGAAACAGAAGAGGCAATCAAGGTAGCTGAACCGTCGATAGCGTTGGGCCCGAACGTGCTATGCAAGGTACACCTGAAATTTCTCGGACCTACTGCTATCAAATTTTTAACTTGTCCTTATTATATAACAAATACCTCAAATGAAAAAGAACTCAACAGTAGTCCCGCTACCAAAACTAACCAAAGACGTTCAACTATGGGACCTTAACCACCCAGTCTCAATTTTAAGGCCAGAAGTGACAATTTTAAAATTTTTAATCCATCCTACTCATATAAAGAATCTCCCTGAAGCTGGCTGTCAGCCCGGCTTTCGTCCACTCCACTCCATCACTACGGCACCATCAACTTTCATTAACAATGGTTTTAATCAAAAACGACCACCTGAAAGAACCGGGCTAGCCACCTTAGATCTATCCCAGGCATTTGACATGGTCTGCCATCGCACATTACTGGAACTTATTCATGGCACCACTGTATCAGATAACTCAACTAAATGGATTGCAAATTATCTGAGCCAACTAAATGGATAGCAAATTATCAGTCAAATGCCGATGATTTTCACCCCTTCGTTCAATCACGCGGTATAAAACATGCCTCTTACACTTTAAATAATTATCTTAACACACTGCACGACTTTTTTTCGAGCATATCGGTCGAATTTTCTTCTACAAAGGGCTCTGTAATTCTTTTTACATCACATAATAAAGAATTTAACTCTGAACCTCAGGTTACAATGTGCGAAACAATATGACCGGTCGTAAAGCACCCCAAAATTCTTGTTGTTTTTTTGTACCTTTCAAAACATTTTGCCGAACCTGCAGAAGCACCGCAAGCAAAGGTATGCGCAGGATGTCGGTCCTGAAGGCGCTGTTGGGTTCAAAACGGGGTCAGTCGAAAGAGACTTTAAATATTACCTACAAAATTTTAATCAGACCATTCCTGGATTACGCCTGTCCAGCTTGTCTCACGCCGCGAGTGATACATCGATAAGGGAAATGCAAATAGTGCAAAATGCAGCTCAGCGGATAGTGATGGGGTGTACTAAGATGAGCCCCATTGACCACCTACATTCACAGTGCAAACTACTTAACGTCTAAAATCACCACAAACTCCTTGCCTCACAATTCTTCTCCAAGACCTACTTGCCAATAGCCCCCTCAAATTCTACCATACTCACCCCCAGCCGCCTCGCCAGCAATGCGTGACATCTTATGCTCGTAAGAAGAAGAACTTGAACAAATTTTACTAGAAGCAAACGAGTGTGATTTTTTACTGGTTCTAAACACCCTAGAGCGCTCATAAACAGCTATTTTAAAACACTTGCAAAGAATATACACGCAAATCGAGTGCAGAAAGCCATAGACGAATCCCCCGCGCCAAAAGTTCACCCCTTAAGACTCCCGGAAATTTTAAAAACTGAACAGACACTCCCACGCTCGACTAGGTGCACCCTCGCCCAAATAAGATCAGGATTACAGCCCCTGCTTAAATTCTTATATGAAGACCCAAACGTCCCTCCAAACTGTCCCTTCTGCCCTGCTCTCCAAACTGCGCTACACTTAATTAACTGACCCCAATAGACTTGTGGCCCCGGCCGACGGAGGTTGCAACAATCCTCGAACTCGGCGAGAGCATGACGGACGCGCCCCAAACAACGGGCTAATAACAACTACAACAAGTTCTAGTTTCATAGGGGACATCTTTAGAAACACAAACAAGAGGATTTCTGCTGAACAGCAAAGCTTGGTTTCATGCAGAGCAGCATTGTGGATTTATTGTGCACGAGGCAGAGGTCAAGCTCACTTTTCCTACCCCCGATGTCATTGCAAGTTCGCTGTAACCTGCAGAGACTATTTGAGCTGTTTTGGGGTTAATTGCGTTGGACTTCCGAGAGCTAGATAGTCTGGATGTTGATTTTGGGGTCGTGACAATTCGTTTGGTTGAGTGTGCTTCATGGCGTTGTGTAGCCCCGAATAGGCGAGGGCGTGATGATAAGGAGTTGTTTGAGTGTTTTGGTTTGAGTTGAGAGGAGTGTTGCTTGACTAATGGCGAGTCGCAGGGTTTTCAAGTGGTGTGATTGGGTATTGTGAGCAGGGCGTGTAAGCGTCAAGTGGTAGTAGTTTCAAAAGGTGACTCTCGGCAGTAGTAGTATGAGCGTTGTTGGAAGATTTCAGTCCGCTGCACTTCATTTTAACCCAACCGCAGCAGTGTTGTTGTTGTTGTGAATTTTCAGTAGGATACTGATGGGATGATATCCCCAAAGTTCTCAAAATTTTGTCCAGTTATTTCGGCACATGTTGCAGTCACAGAAGAGGACCCATGTGCACTTGTTTTGTTCTGAGAATTGATCGTCGAAAAACTTCCACATCGTCTGTATCAATCTTCGCTTTAAGCCTCGCATTTCTCGAAATTCAATTTTCTGATTTAGTCGGTTTATTAGACGGCACGTCCTGAATGTTAACTCTCCTCTAGCTTTTTCAGTTCTGGTCTTGTTTAGGTTGAACATTTCTTTCGTTCTTCCTGGATTTTCAATTTTTGCTGGGAGCATACACTTGCTTGCGAGCGGGGGATCAGGTTGTTACCGGATTCACATTTGAATGAGAGTCCTGGGTTGCTTTCATTTCCATTGAACCGTAGTTTTTTGTTCTACCTCACGGAGTCCTCTTCTCTGAGGCCCCATTTACTCAAATGCACTATATGCTAACAAACTGTTCAAAAGCAGATTTAGCTGCTGATGTAAAAATAGTTTCCCAAGGTTATTGACACTATCAACTTAAGTTTCGCCAAAAAATGAAGAACGAACTGAGTAGGATGATGTCACCAGCATTGATCCATACTTTCTTTCGAAGCTTCCCTCTTATGTGACACAGCCTCTTCTTTCCGGAATCACCTAGGTCTTCGGCAAGTAAGCGACCATTTCCCAGCATTTGCGTCACCTGATAAGTACATTCAGTAATCCCGCAGATATATATGCAATCTACTAGAAACAGGTATGCAGCTGCTACTCATAAGTTCGAGCTGGCCAACTTACTTATTCTTAAATCGTATAATTTTACAATAGCTCAAACTTCTACTAAATGATAAATTCATAAGCACACAACTTAACCGTATTAAAAGGTCAGATTCAAGGAATTACTTTGGCATACGCCTGGTCATGGGTAGCATAAATCAACTCTCTTTTGACAGGCTCATTTTCGTTTTTTCCTCTCCGTCTGTTTTTTCCTCCCTTTCCTTTATTCTTAGGCATTGTTTGCGTGCACAGGAATCTGGAAATGATACAATTTTAAATAACTCAGCTAACCAGAGGCCGGCATAACCCCGGGGAACACTGGTAGCAATGGAATTCAGAAGGTCAGAAACTGTCAATGGAACAAATTTACATCGAGTGTCTATCATCACGCTGTCCAGTCAAAAACCTCGGAATTGTTTTGCATCCTTTAAGACAAACATAGCATGGCACCTAGTCGAAAAACAAAAGCTAATGAGTCTTAAGAAAACTGAGATGTCGTTTGTCTCGAATTCATTGAATTTGATAAAATCTGTCGATTTTCAGCTTTAATTATATTAGCAGGGAGAAATGTAATGTGTGATAAAAAATTTCAACACAGAGGCGAAGCTGAGCTTCGCATTATTTGTGATACAACACAAAAAAAATCCAAAATGACACAAAAAACTAGATCTACCATAATGATTAAGGCTAGTTTTGGAAACAAAAACATGCCGAGACAATAGAATGAGAAATTAGCATCGGAAAACATTTTACCAAGCGGTAACAAATATCTTGGCAGAAACCTTTAAAGCCGAATAAAATTAACAAGACTTAGGAAGTCCCCGTCGCCCTCAAAAATATTATTTGCTTGAAAAATGAAACAATATAATAATAATAATAATAATAATAATGAAAGATTTAGGATAAGTTCCAGGGGAATTGCTTCCCTGTCACTTTCAGTTTATTGAGTCTCATAGAAATTCAGTTTTGCAGTATTGATGTAGTTTGTGCAGTCGCAGCATAATCTCCAGGTGCAGGGGAGGTTTTCGTTGAATTTCGCAGTGAAGTAGCGCCAGTAGATAGTTGTCAGTTCTTCTTTGCATTGCGTTGATTTGATGACATCTTGGTTGAGATGCCTATTTAATATATTTGAAAATGAACATGCTCGTTGCCAAAAATCAGATTCGCATTTTTTCAGTCGGAAGCATTTCCTGGTATAAAAGGGTATTGCGTGAGATCTTGTTATGCCTGTATCAATAATCTGTACATATAATCTCTCCCAATCAATGTCAGTTTTCGAGTTGATAATCCTAGCAAAAAGTAAAACTACATGCATTTCATGATATAAGGACAGTGGTAGTAAGTGAAGTCTTTGAAGACGCGATTTATATGCAAGGTTGTTTGTGCCTAATGTCCAGATACTTGCTCGATGTTGAAACTTCTCAGTGAGTGCCAGTTCAGACTTAGATGGTTTCCAAAGAGACGATTCATAGCTGGTTATTGGCACTACATATCCTCTGTATGCATTCTTCTTAGTGCTTATGGTCGAGCTATTGGCTAGGTTTCTTTTTGAAGAGAAGAAAGCTTTTAGTGATTTGGCGGATCTAGTTTTAGCGTGTTCCGTCCAAGACAGGTTGTTTGTGACTATAAGTCCAAGATCTTTCATAAGATCCGTTCCTGGTATATTCTGTTTTTTCATGCAAACAGACATACTGCCTTTAAACTGAAGGGTTTTGCATTTACTTAGGTTCAAACACATAAAATTCTTGGAGCACCAATTCCAAATTTTATTCGAGTCGATATTCAGGGTTATTGCGTTATCCGAGACAATTTTATAGTCGTCAGCATAGCCGAAGCAGTTGGACATGGCCACCTTTGGCAGGTCATTTATGTACAAAATAAACATGAGTGGGCCAAGTATTGATCCCTGCGGAACACCACTTGTTATTGGCAGTAATTTTGAGATGCAATGCCCGATTCGCACCTGCTGATATCTATGATTGAGAAAATTTTTCAGTAGACCAAGGCACGCGCCACTGAAGCCGGTATGAGAAAACTTTTCAATTAATTTCAGGTGGTTGACTTTATCAAACGCCTTTTCAAAATCGAGATACGGGGATGAAAGGTTATTTACATTCTTGTTGTCGTACATTAGATAGATTTCGTGGAGATAGAGTATGATGTTAGTAATGGTTGAGCGTTTCGTTCTGAAACCATGTTGTGAGTTATGCAGCAGTTTTTGCACCTTCGAGTACATTTTATCAAACATCAGTTTTTCTAATACCTTCGATGTAGCATTCAGAAGACTGATTGGCCTGTATTTGGAGACTTCCTGTTTGTTATTTTGCTTGTAGATAGGCACTATTTCACTTACTTTCCAAGTAGATGGGAATTGCTGCTTGTTCGCAATCGTATTGAAAAGTAACATTAATGATTTTGAGATGGAGCTCCAGAGCTGTTTAAAGAGCAGGTTTCCCATTCTATCAGGTCCTTTTGACTTGTTTATGTTAAGATTTTTTAAAATGTCTTCTATTTCGATGATATTAAAATTAAAATGATTTAAGAGGGTCGTATTATCACTGTCTAGGTTTGAATCATATGGAATTTTGCTGTAGATGGAATGGAAATACCGGTTGAAAAGTTCAGCTTTATCTTGGTCGGAGCGAGCTTTTTCACCATCAAGATACATTTCACTAGGCACAGTAGTAGAACGCCGAACGTTACGCAGATATTTTTGAAGTTTATCAAAACTCCCTTCTTTGAAAAGTTCTCTCTCATGGTTTTGCTGATCCATCAGAAGAGCATAGGCCAGGTTTGTTTGCGATTTTTCCAACTTCCTGAGGTTAGCTTCGCTCGGCTTTTTAATATAATTTTTAGTTAATGTAGCTCGGATTTTAATAAGATTAGAGGTTGAGGGGATTACCCAAGGCGCCAGGGACAGCCGATGTTTAGTTTGTAAGGGAATGTGCTTTATTAGAATACTATAAATCCACTGGTACCACAGTCTAGTGATAACATCGACATTGCTCTAGCAGTATGGCATGAAAGGCTCCTCAGCTATTTGATCGTTTATGGCTCTCCAGTCGGCTTTGGTATAATCAAACTTTGCAAAGTCCAGTTCAATTTCATGTGGTCTGTCGCGACGGAACGATTCGTTAGACTGAAATTGAATCCTTGCCTTGTAAGGCAAGTGATCGCTGGCGAAGTGGCTTTTCAGAAAGTTATCAATGCAAACATCAGAAAGGATATCCCCATTATTGCATAAGATCACGTCCAGTAGGTATTTTCTATGGTCGATTTTAATCGCTTGTTCATAGTTAAGGTCGATTTTAATCGCTTGTTCATAGTGAGACAACTCAGCCAGTATAATATAGCCCGAAACCTAAGAAGCCTCTAAAGGACGAAAATATAAAAATTGAAAAAAGTTAGGAGTAATTAGAAGCTATTAAGCCCCTCGCTCTCAACACACAGCAGAGACACACTTTTTGCTCGTCGATGGAGGCCCGCGTCGAGATTTTTCACCTAATTTGAAGCAAGATTTGAGCGGTTTGAGTGGTTTTTTAGACAAGTACGCTAAAAATCATGCTTCAAAATGAGCGGTTTGAGCGGTTTTTAAACGGTTTTATCTAAAAAAAACCGCTCAAAAACCGCGCAAGATTTGAACGGTTTTGAGCGGTTTATCTAAAAAATATAGATAAACCGGCAATATAATCCCGATAAGCCGATATAGTATAGGCCGAAACCTATCAAGCCGAAAAAAGGCAAAGAAAAAAATTGCTTGTCAGAAAAAAACTGACAAAAAATCTAGCGTCACAGAAGGAGCATCGAATTGGCTTAAAAGGATACAATTTTTCCCTCAACAATCAGAGTTTAAAGATGGATTGCATCTGAGACATGGATGGGAACCACCAAACACCCCACACAGATGCCCATGTGGACAACCGTTCACACTGACTCACTCTCTACACTGTCTCAAAGGTGGATACACTGACCTACGACATAGTAAAATTCGCGATACATCAAGGCGTATGTACTCTTGGGAGGCCGATTCAGTCGAATTTTTTTCGATATAAAAATTTTCAACCCCCATGCTAAATCCAGCCCCAAAACTAAATCTGACGCCTACAAATATCATGATATGGTCAAAACATTAAAATACCAACAGAGAATTCTGGATGTGGAACACAGCAGCTTTGTTCCATTAATTTCTGTGTGTACCGGAGGAGCAGCACCAGGCTCTACAAAAACCACCCAGAAACTAGCATAGAAACTCAGCGAGAAACGGAACGAATCAAACTCGGACACAATAAACTCAATAAGAACAGAAATAAGTTTTGCGCTTCTGAGGAGTGCAATCCTATGCCTTAGGGGGTGCCAAAATCTTAAAAAGACATCCAACACAGACAATTCTATCTGTGCAATCATCGAGAAGGGTAGATTTTAATTGACAATTCTCTTGATGCATTGATATAGACCTGATTTATTCATAAAACATTGCCGATGTATTTATATAGCGTTGGTACGGCCCTATCCAACCTGTGCAAGTACCGTCGCATGACGGAAGGGCCCATTTTAATTGTCTTTTTTGATGATTAAACTGTTATCATGAAAATTTGAACAATAGTTTTGAATATGATATTTAGCATTTTGTTCAATCCACAGATGAGCAAAAAAATTTTATTGAAATATTCTGGAATAAGTTCACTAAGCCGTAAACAAAAGGCCGGTTTCATTTGGACAGTTTCAAATTTTGATCAAAAAACGAAGGAAAAAAAAACTTTAACAATCGCCCGTAAGAACTTACCGACGGAAAACAAAGCTAGTTTCTAAATGGCTGGCTAGCGTCTAAACTCAGCTTCACTTGCTTTTGACTGTCTCTACCAAGTTAGTTCAATCTGTGGTGTACTAACATCGCGTCGACACATCGCGTCGACACTTGAAAGCTATCGTCCAAACCGCGCAAATTAACGTAGTTACATGCAAAAATAGTAAGCTCCAGGCTGGTCCTCAGTTTTTCCAGATCACGAGCTCACGCTTAAAAACAGGGCTACTACTTATAAACAGGACTACTACCTAAGAACAGGGTCAAATTAAAACTTTTTCTCCTAGGGTTAAAAAGACAGATAGTCCTGCCAAACAACACACTAAAATTATCCTACTATGCTTCTCCCCTTCGCAAAATTGGTAATTATTCGTCCTGAATATCAAAATTAGCAAACTCAGTGGTTAGAACTAGCATTGAAATGATCTTCCTCTTCATGAGATTATCCGATTGTT